TAAAAGATATTAAAGTACATAAATAGAGAGAGAAATTTGCATATTTCTCTCATTATTATTTTTACAATATTCTTTTGTGAAATTAATGCCATTTTTTTCGCCATTTTATTTTTGTTTTTTAGATTATTTGACAGTGGCGAGTCAGCTGATGATCCTCAATCAGCTGTTGCTTTGGAAATGGAATCCGCTGAAAGACGATCTGAGCCTGATCTTTTGGTTTATGGCGGTGCCATTCTTCTCATCCTACTGGTCGTCTCTGTCCTTCTCTTTTACGTTGATAAAGGGGCGACAGAGAAGTATTCATTTTGATAAAATATCTTATTTCTTTTCATTCAGGGTTCATAAGCAAACATTAGGACTTTCATAATTTCTTTTTGTCATCGTAAATTTCAAATTCGGGTATTCAAAAAGTTTCAGGAGTCATAAAAATCAAATTTTTTGTGGGTAACCTTGCATGTAAGAATAATAAGAAAGTTTAAATAAATCAATAACTACAGTGATAACCAGAAAACAATGGAATAAAAAGACGACATTATAGCAATACTTAAGCGTTTTGATGTTGTTACAAAGCAAATATTTATACTAGTAATTAGCAAAGCCCAATTTAAGTAAAAATGGTCTTTTTAAACTGTACAATTGCTATGTCAATAATGTTCATTGAACTAGTTTAAGTCCTAACTTTAAAAGTTTAAAAGGCGTCTTCCTATTTCAGAGTTTTCTGGTTATCACTGTATACAACTACTATATGCATATAATATACATGCAGAATACATACCAACTGTATTATGTAGGATAGATGACTACCTATATAACTACTATATGTACTATATATATATATATACAGAATACATACAAACTGTATTATGTAGGATAGATGACTACATATACAACTACTATATGTATTATATATACAGAATACATACCAACTGTATTATATAGGATAGATGACTACCTATATAACTACTATGGTGGAAATGAATATGAAAGGTTGACAACGCTTTACAATCCAGAATCTGAAGAAACCTTCCTACAAGGTAAGAGCATTTAATCGTGTTAAAAAACTTTTAATAAAACTTATTTTCACTCTAGGTGAACGAAAGAAAAAAAGATTCAACAAACGATTGTTTTCCATGTTTGTTTTTTAAATACAGTCATAGAATGACCCAGAGTCATTTACAGTTAATCAGTGCGGCTTTACATATATATATCTGGCCATTTTATATGCTCATAAAAGACAGACCACATTTTGGAAATGGCAGGACTAGGGTTTTTTTTCTGATTATCGTTTCATTAATCATATTTGTAAAATTAGATTCTAAAGTCGTCTGATTAATTGTAAATTAATTTCGGGACTAGGGGCGTACTAGGGGATAACTCCAAGCCCCCCTAGAAAGCCCTGCACTTATGGTTCCCCCTGGTCCTAAGCCAGTGGTCTACTGGGGGGGGGGCCTAGAATCCTGTGTATATTCCTCCTAAATATTCCCCCTAGGCCTAATATATTAAACTAATTTATATTCTTGTCTTATGGACAATTTGTCCATTTTATAATTATTTATAAATTCAAAGTGATGTAATTTAAATATTAGGAACAAACCGTTGAAGTCTGCAGTAATAACTAACTTTAGTAACTTCTACTCCTTAACGATGAAAAAATGAGATTCTAAAGAAATCTTCGATTTTGAAAAGTCAAAATATGTAGCATTAAAGTATGCAAAGCATGGTAACTTGTCAAGTGCGCACAATTAGAAATGCCGTTTAGAATTTGGCATTTCGGAACCATTGTGTTTGATTTATCAGATCTTGTGTTTAATACTATATTTTTAGAGTCAAATTCCCGTCTCTCACTTCTAGATGATCTTGAAGAAATAGATGATATTCAGGTATAAGGGTCGTTATCGCAAACATTTTTTTCCCTTTCAAAATGGCGCCAGTCAGCTGATAAATCAAAATGGCGCCAGTCAGCTGATAAATAAAAATGGAGGTAGTCAATTCAGCAGTCAGTTCATGCCTAGTCATCATCTGGCGGGATATAGGTCCTTTCAGGTGAATATTTCAAACATAAAATGTACTATTTTGATGAGTAAATAAAGAATAATTTTTCAGAACTCTTCCTCAGTGCTGGACATCATGTCAGGGTTAACCCACCTGTTTCATTAAATATTATCATACTGCAATTAGGTTTATGTTGTAATAAAACTAATACTTCTTTTTGTATCACAGTTTTAATATGAGTGAGAGATAATGAGATAAAAGATATTAAGACTAAGTAAAAAAAATCTCGATTCTTGGAAGCCTTTTAACTATGTTAAGACAAAAAATTGTTTGTTACACATATATTTCGATTAAAACTTTTTTTTACAGTTTTCTACAATAGATAAAACAGTAGGAATTTGACGTGGGTTAAATCGATCAATTAATTTTTAAGTTGAAACAAAAAAGTTTACGATAGATACTTCAACAGAGTTTAAAAAAAATATTATTTACAGTGGACACATTCTTACATCTTAAATAATTTCGTATTTTATAAGAACAAAACATTTAATTCGTGAATGATGCATTATTTTTAAACGTGCTACATAAAGTAATGAGGAGGACACTGAGAAAATACAATAAGTAAGAACGTTAAATATATTTTTTATTATAGATTTCTCAATCTGTTAAAACTGCTAATTTTACTGAACAAAATCACAGACAAATTATAATTAAAAACGGACTCAGTTTTAACCATTTCAACATAATGTCCGACATAAAAAGCAATTTTATGACATTTTCCGATATTTATTGATGTATTTTGATTGGAAAACAAATTAAAAATGATCTATGTCTCTAGTTGATATTAGTTGTATGATGATTTGAAAGGAAGACGACATTCAAGAGGAAATAACCTTTTAGGTCTTTTTATATATACATTTAAGAACTAAACACGTATTTAACATATGTCCACTAATAATCGAAATATAATTGACATTGTGTTAAAATGGTTAAAAGTTTAGGGGTCGAGTCCGCCCCATGCAAGAGTTATCTCCATGCAGGACAACAAGAATACAAGAATCATTCTTGTAAACAAAACAGCGCTAAAATATAAGAAAAATAAATTTAATTTACTTCCCCGTAAATGATGTATTTTCTCCCAAAGTTTCTAAAATTTTGGGCAGAATAGTAATTTTCGANTGTTTCTAGTGATAATATTAGAAAAAATATAGAAAATTACTTCATAATTTTATTAACAATTTTTCGAGTTTAAAAGTTTATTTGGCCAAGTTATTAAAAAAAAACGTTTCCTTCAAGAAAAAATTATAATTTTTTTAAGTAAAGATAACATAACCATAACCATAACCATATTTACTTTTTTATTGGGCTAAGGGGGCGGGGGGACAATACATATAAGATTACCACTGGGTAGGTGTTATGCCCCATTTCAGAAGCTAAAGAAAAAAGAATGAGTTTTACAAAAAAACTTTTTTTTATCAATTAAACAATCTCACTAAAGAAAAAAATATTTCTAATTTTGTCATTTAAGAATGCATTTCTTTGTATTCGGATTAGGTCTGTCAATGACTGACTATCCAAAAATTCAAGATGAAATAAACGTGAAAAAAATATTTAAAGTGAAATATTTTTAGAGCTTCAATGAACTTGCATTGCATGGAATCAACCAAACGAGTTTAAAGAGAACCTTTGTGCTGCATGATAATAACCAAACAATTTTTATGAATCAATTATACATATAATGACATTATTTTAATAAGTATAAGAATTCAATATACTGTATAAAAATTTATATAATATGTTTTGTAGATCCATTCAAACTATATAATATTAATAAACCATGTTTTATGAATCCATTATACTATATAATATTAATAAACCATGTTTTATGAATCCATTATACTATATAATATTAATAAACCATGTTTTATGAATCCATTATACTATATAATATTAATAAACCATGTTTTATGAATCCATTATACTATATAATATTAATAAACCATGTTTTATGAATCCATTATACTATATAATATTAATAAACCATGTTTTATGAATCCATTATACTATATAATATTAATAAACCATGTTTTATGAATCCATTATACTATATAATATTAATAAACCATGTTTTATGAATCCATTATACTATATAATATTAATAAACCATGTTTTATGAATCCATTATACTATATAATATTAATAAACCATGTTTTATGAATCCATTATACTATATAATATTAATAAACCATGTTTTATGAATCCATTATACTATATAATATTAATAAACCATGTTTTATGAATCCATTATACTATATAATATTAATAAACCATGTTTTATGAATCCATTATACTATATAATATTAATAAACCATGTTTTATGAATCCATTATACTATATAATATTAATAAACCATGTTTTATGAATCCATTATACTATATAATATTAATAAACCATGTTTTATGAATCCATTATACTATATAATATTAATAAACCATGTTTTATGAATCCATTATACTATATAATATTAATAAACCATGTTTTATGAATCCATTATACTATATAATATTAATAAACCATGTTTTATGAATCCATTATACTATATAATATTAATAAACCATGTTTTATGAATCCATTATACTATATAATATTAATAAACCATGTTTTATGAATCCATTATACTATATAATATTAATAAACCATGTTTNAACAAAGAAACAAACAAACAAACAAACAAACAGACAGACAAGCCAAATTTATTTATAGATGTAATTTATAGCTGGACAAAATGGACTGGCATTTTTAGAGAAAACCCATTGACAAAATTTTTTTTCCCCGGGCAACGCCGGGCACTTCAGCTTAGATTGTCTGCTGTTTCTTGGTGTGGTTGGAGCCAATAATTGTCGAAATGGCTGAACCGATTTAGATTATACCGTTTAAATGATCTCTGCAGGAGTTCTTAAAATTTTTCCCTAAACTTTGAAAAATACCTGATATTATTTGGATTTAAAATATTGAATTATTTACATTTTAAGTTGATGTTTGGACTGTGTCAGTAGGCAGGTTGAATGTACTGTACTTTACTGTACTGTACTGTAATATACCTGTATCGTACACTCGGTGTCCAGTTTGTGCTGTTTAATCATTGTACACTCTCCACCCTCTACTGGTATATTGTACACATAGAAGTATCCATCCATACTTGCCATCAGCAGCCTTGACAATCAATCAATCAATCAATCATGCAATCAATCAATCAATCATGCAATCAATCAATCGATTAATCAATCTTGCATTCAAACAATGGGGAATATATTTTCTTAAAATAATTCCCCCCCTCCCTCAGAAATGAGGTATGTATAAGAGTTTTATTCGCTGAAATGGTTAAATGAATGATTTTCAGTGGAAAAATATTAATTTTTTGGGGTTAAAACCTATCAAAAAACACATTTACACTTAAAACAATCATTATTCAGTTTTGCTTATAGTTCATCTTTAATTCTAAATTAACAGATAAAACTTGTTTGATAAAAAGGAACCTGATTTGTCTTGATAGTGTTGCAATAGAGACGATATTAGGAACCCCTGCAGATGGAACTGTTACTGTAGCGAAGGCTCGAAATTGGTTCAAGGTGTCGGTAACCTAGTATTTTTATAATTAAAAATTTTCTGTTGATATTTATCCAAATCACAATAAAGATGCAGTCTGAGGCAGAATTTAAAGAATTTAAGCCACGACTAAAATTTGGGACGCGGCTCAAATATCATTGGTTCTACTAAAAAATGTTTTCAATGTTTCATGACGGCGCGGCGCTCAATTAAAACCGCTTTTTGGCGGACTTGAGACGCGGCTCAAATTCATTACATTCGGACTCAGGTTTGATCTTTTTCGGTTACAAGGATAAAATAATCTTTAAAATATATATTTTTTAAATCTCAAAAAAGGCAATACAAATTATTAGGCGAAAAAGATACAATTTTAAATCATGACATCTAACTAAGAAAGTTTCAGTATTTGCAAATGTTTTTATCATCTAATTTAAAGTTGTGGTTATGAATATTTTTAATGTCAGAATTTTATTGTTCCGACCCCTGACAATAAAAACAAAACGAAACCCGAAAATGAACAGATATCTGAAAATCTAATGATTCTTTTCCACCAAAAAATTAAAATTGACATAAAATAAAATGCCTAGTAGAGAATTTACCAAATAAATAATACCTGGGTAGGAAGGTAACTAGCACTCACAGATACAGCTTTAGATAAATATCCCATCCAAGAACCATCCTCAGTTGGATGTATGTTTGTCTAAATACAGGGGAATATAGTTTAGATAAATATCCCATCCAAGAACCATCCTCAGTTGGTTGTATGTTGGTCAAAATTCAGGGGAATATGGCTTACATAAATATCCCATGTCTTTATAAATCATTTCCTCACTCATCCCACTTTAAAACATTTCGCCCTAGTATGTAACGATACTGATTTAGTATGTGGATTTAGAAAATGTTTAAAGGGGCTGTAAGCGTAATTTCGAGCGACCTTATTTCTAAAGAGGGGCATCATTTGACCGATCATTGATCAAGGATCATTATTAATCGTCTTAAACGTTTTTAATTAGGCAAGACTTTGTTTGCTAGCTGTAATAATATATTTTTGAAAAATCAACAGTTACTCTCTAAAAGTGGCAGAAAGTAGAAATTTAATTTGGAATATTTAAAACCCCCTTTAAACGAGAAAAAATATATATTTTTGAGGAACGCAAGTTATGGGTCACCTGTGTTGAGTGCAAATAGTTTGTTTCGTACGTCTAGTACACAGAGATTTAAAACAATTCACCGCTACTAACCAACATTGCCCTTTTAGCATGGGGGGTCACATGCAATTACGCAGTCCCTTTAAGGCAAATTTTTCAACTTCTGTCCATCCATAATTCTTCCATGGGGTCTTATGAATTACCACACAAGTTTGGGCCAGATCGGTTAAACCGTTTTGAGGTTGATTGGATACAAACCAACAAACAAGAAAAGCATATTAATAATAAAAGTGAATAAACCTGTTTCTGATGATTTTCTTCTTGTTGTTGATGGCCCTCCTCTACCCTGTAGAAATAAGACAAATCATACAGGGTGCCTTGATAAACATAGGAACAACATATAGATTCTCCTTATTTTCAACTATCAATTTCAGATTCTTCAAAAAATATCTAACTTTAAGCTTAAAGCTTTTTTGGTAAATTTTGATAAACAAAATGGGGAACTCATTTTGAAAACCGAAAGACATCAAGATTTTGACAAACTTGAAATCTTCTGATTCATTTTATGTTTACAAATAAACTTAAAAATTCTCGTGTTCTGAGATGCACTTTATATAATCTAAGATCGGACAAATAGACAGGCAGACAAAAGAGAATTTCCGGAAATTCCTCCAGACCGTAGTTTCTTGGTTTGGAGAGATTAGTAGGATTTTTCAATATTTTGAAATAGTTTCGCAAATGTATAGTTTTGAAGAAGTACTGGATGATTTTCAATCTTTATGGGTTGAGTTGATCATCCCTTAGCGAAATGAACAGACAAACTTTTTCAAAAACAAAGCCTGTAGTTTACCTGAATATATGAATAGTTTCAGTATTTGATGCCAGGGCAAGAAATTGACTGTCCTGACTAAAAGCAAGACTGTAAACTAGAGCACACCGCTTAACTCCACGCCTGAATAAAAATAAAATTACGATGAATTCAGGCTGTTCTATCTTTGCGGCTCATTTTTCTAAAATCAAAAACAAAAATTTCCAATAAACAAGTACTGTTCTCTTAAGAAAACTTCCATGTTCTCTTTAAATATCTGAATTCGACGATAAATTGTATTAAAAAGAAAGTATTTTGACAACTATAGGACAGACTACATCAGAATGCGGTTTTAACAGTAAAAAGGTGAACCAAAAGGGGGGTGGCAGGGGAGGGGATGAATCTTACTCTAAAAAGCCAGGGATATATTTTTATTGAAAAAAAACTCTGATGTTAGGCATATCTAAATTGGGGAAATCTATGAAATATAGAGAACTAGCTCAAGTGCCCAGCGTTACCCGTTGAATAAATTTTTTTTTAAAAATTCTGAACAAACATATTTCGAATTTTGTAGCCGGGCAAGCATGGGATTCCTCAAAAAGAGCTTTATTGTATTTTTATATATATAAATATGAGCGAAGAGCTGTATTATATAGATAGCTCTAACAAGAATAATCCCCCTGTAGAAGACACAACTATTAAAAATCAACGAAAATTACAAAAAATAGAATGACCTGAACTCAATTAGCCTGGTTCCGTCTACCACATTAAATATACGAATTACAGTACCACGAACTGACGCACTAGCAAGTCTGGAACCTAGAAGTACGCAAAATTGTTGTACATTTGCGTACAAAAATATTTGATTATAAAACCTGTTTAAGAGAGTCCTAGCTTCTGGATAGTTAGGATTTAATTTTATAAAATATGTTTCACCAAAAAACTTCTTTAAAAGAGAGGTGTTAATCAAATGATATAAGATACATGGTTACCGACAAGGGATAAAACTACAGAGATGACTTAACAGAATGTGTAAACTGTCTGATTTCTCAATTTCAAGATTCCTTGCAAAATTGAGCAATTTAAGACTATGTTCAAGACAGACAATTCCACTTCACCGTAGGGTCTTTAAATATTAAGAGTATCAGGTCGTCTTTACAATTTCATCCTATGTGGGTAACTCTATTAGGCATCCATATCTCGATTAACATTCTAGGAAAATTCCAAAAAATTGAAAAATTATTTTAAGAATTGAAAAAAAAACTTTACCTGACGGATTAAAAGAAAGAGCTGCGAGTGGAGCATCATGCGCCGGTATCATTAACTTGGCCTGTAATCAATCAATCAATCACTCCATCAACCACTCAATCAATCAATCAATCAACCACTCAATCATTCAATCACTCAATCAATCAATATATCATTTAACCAACAAATCAGCAAATTAATCAATTATTGTATTGTTGATACTATCATCGATAAATCAATTTTGAAAAAAGGTCTAGTCCATCTATAACCAATGTTTGTTTTTAAGAATTACCCCCTCTCAGCAGGGGGTAAATAATTTTTAAGGAAAATATACAATCCTGGAAGAGCGTAAGGGGGGGGGGAGGATTTTAAAAACGAGGGAAAGCTCCAGTTCGTCCCAAAAATAAATATTTTCTCAGAAAAAATTAATTTAACGCTAGAAACCTTAAATTAGCATGATCAAAGTCAGAACTTTTGTGAATCTCGGAATCAAGTCTAGATCTCCATCTTAATTTAATTTCATTCCGATACCCAGTCGTGGATTATTCATATACGGATAATCTTAAATATTACATATTGATCCTCAATTTCTCAATTGAAAAGTTCCCACGCTTGATATCAAGTTCAGGAAATATTTCATGTCATTTCCCCTTTTGGAAAATAATTTTTCCCCCAGAAGATATATGTGGTTGCGCGGAGCGAAAATATTTTTTTTGTTCAAGGTTTTATTAGCTGAATTGGGAAAAATAAATGATTTTTAGGGGTCAAATAAATGAATTTTTGGGTAAAACGTATCAAAAAGAATATAAAAGTAGCTTTATGATGTTAATTTATTCATTTTCCTCCACAAATCATCCCCTCCCCCTCCTGGGGTGGGGTAATTCTGAAAATTATTGTGGTAATCTCTTACAACCAAAAATGTATGATGCAATAAATCTTAACTCATGAATCAGCAAATTATGAAAAGATCACACTTCGGGTTATATAACCTTTATGTGATCAATTTTCTTTGCCATTAGATAACATCATATCAAACCTTTAAATAATTAAGTATCTTTGCAATATTATAAGACCCTTATTAATCAATACATTACAAACTGATCAAGTACATTTTTTTCACATAGTTTCATAAATGCATATATAATCATAATAGGAAGATAAATAGGTGGTTTGATAATCAGCCATGATCCTTTTACATGTTAGGTCCATTAGCTTGATCTTTTAGCACTTTCTCAGTTAATCTACCAAGTCGAAAGTGCATGACTAATATATTTGCCAGTCCATCAATTAGCTCTTCATCTTCTTTATTCCAGGTTTACTGGTCAACCCGCTCCTGCAACTTGTGGAGCAGCTTCCCAACCTGGACATATATCCTGGAGCAAACCTCCTCCCTGCTTGCTTCGGGATAAAGGTTACACTATTTAGGCTCATGAGCAGGATCTCTTGAGACCTCTGTCATCCTATCAAGCTTGGATTCCATCATCTTGAGGGAGGGATAAACCCTCTAATTGCACCTCATAATTTAGGATCATGAGCAGGATCTCTTGAGACCTCTGCAATCCTATCAAGCTTGGGACACTCTCATCTTCGGCTGCATCCTTATCCTCTACATCTTTGGCTGCATCCTTAGCTGCATCATTAGCTGCATCCTTAGCTGCATCCGTAGCTGCATCCTTAGATGTATCTTCATCTATATCCATTATCAGGTTTCAATCGGTATGCAGGGTTCATCATCATCTAATATTCGCTGCTCATCTTCATGGAAGCTCGCTGTATCATTGTAGGAAGTCCTGTATAATGTATGTCGTACAGGGCCCGGAACGTTATTTGGTAGACGACTTGTATGTGTATCTACTCTTCTAAGGTTCGGACTGACTCAATCTGGTCTCTCCGATCTCTCATTGTATCTAAGGGACTGTTCATCCTTTTCTGGTTCAGTCCGGAATACAACATTATACACCCCTGATTCACGATTAACGATATTTTACACAAAAGTTCCGAACTCATGACTTATAGTATAATGTTTTGTATACCTGTAGATTAAAAGCATCAAAAAGTTGAACCTCTCCGGAGGTGGTTGAGCCAGGGTACGCCAGGATACAGTTGTCACTGGATTCAACATTCATAAAATCACTTTTCCAGAAAAATAATCATACTGTGCGCACGTAGTCCAGACTCTACATACAAAAGGCTTAGCAAATGAAAGTTCCCCCCCCCGGATATTATTATCAATCAATCAATCAATCAATCAATCAATCAATCAATCAATCAATCAATCAAAGTTTTAGGGACGTCCTACTAACCACAAGATAAATTTCCTAAATTGAGACTTAGATGGTCTCATAGTACTGCGATAGGTGCTCTAACTAAAAATTAAATTGTTACGCCTGAAAATAAGCCTAGTCTTAATAATCTTGCTATGCAATTAATATTGCTTTATTTAACCGAAATCACAAGGGACACCCGACATTCTACTAGATTGCCGGTCGTAGCTTCTAATAATTAGTTCGTATGTTCACTTCCTAATGATTGGTCGCCACCCTGCCGACTTTTATTCATTCATTTATTTTCTGTATTTATGTAAAAATTGAATTCAAATGAGGACCATGTTTAAACCGCAAATCTTTTCTTTATACTAACGTTAAGTTGAAAAAATACACCAGAAAACTTGTGTGCAGTTTATATGATAAAGTGTTCATACAATGGGTAGTTCACAGCACAGTAGCTCAATTAGCATGGCACATGCCGCATAGAGAAAAATGTCGTCTTCTAAATGATACTCGTGAAAGTGTTTGTCTGTTTGTTAAGTCTGGGTGACGTATGCGTAAAAGCTTGGCTTCCTGGATGGAAGGCACTATTGGCGTACATTTTTTTTTTTTTAAATTGGGATTTCTTTGTTAAAGTGACTCGTGGATTTACGCTGTTAATTTAACACATTTTTAGAAGCAAACACGTGTTTTAAGCTAGAAACCCAGAAACTATGTCTGCCACATTAGTGTTCTGAAAAAAATTGGTAGTTGGTATCGTTGCGAATCTAATCGATTCCCCTTTAAATGGAGGGTAACTTGTATAAATTAAAAAAATAAAAATCCTGATTTTAAATTGAATATTTCCTGTTGATACTTAGTGCACACAAGCCTCGGGGATTGGAAGGAGTTTCTCTAAAGAAAAAGTAAAATAAGAAAACATTTCTTTGTAAAACGCAATGATATCTATCTAGAAACACAAAAAACTATTTTGAACTTTTTTTTGCGTTTTTTTTTAAACAGGAGGAGGTTATTATGTTTAAAAAATTAAATAATTCCCCCCCCCCCAGACCTTTACCTGATTGTATGGAGAACCTTCATATCCCTAATATTATGAATATATAAAGCCTCCTCTAGGCAGACCACAAGCCTAGCTCTAAAAAATAAATATATATATACTTTGCTTGTCTGTTTGTCCGTTTGTGTCCAATAAACGTCCAAACGGCTGAACCTACCGGGCCCAAATTTTGTGTGGGACCTCGAGTGACCCCAGGGCCCAGGGCCCAGGGAAGGTTTATGAATGATCAAAATTTAAAAAATTAGAGTTGAAAAAGTTTTTTACTTTTGTAAAATTTTGAAAATGCGCGAAAAAATAATATGAAATCCGTAAAAAGAGATAAATCAACAATAAAAAGTTGAAATAGAACATTGCTTGTTTGTATCCAATAAACGTCAAAACGGCTGAACCGATTGGGCCCAAATTTTGTATTTTTGTTAAATTTTGAAAATGCGCTATAAATATTCTTAAAACCGCAAACTTAATTGTTTGTTATTGTTTTGAATTAAACAAAGATAACCCATCTCCAGCCCAATATAACAGTAACCTATTAAGTTTAACTGCTAGTATAGTGTTACAGTAACTGTACTGGCATATCTCTGTACCCCTATTAATACCACCACCACCCCCTCCAACCCAATTTAACAGTTACCTATTAGGTTTAACTGCTAGTATAGTGTTACTGTAACTGTACTGGCATATCTCTGTACCCCTATTAATATCCCCCCCCTCCAACCCAATGTAACAGTTACCTATTAAGTTTAACTGCTAGTATAGTGTTACTGTAACTGTACTGGCATAT